GCTTGAGCGGTCCTGCAAAGAAGAATGGGCGAAACTGCCCAAAAAATAGGTGTGCCAAGCTTGTAGCATTGTACTCAAAAAGACTTGAGTCTGTAATTGGTGCCAAATGTGCTTCAGCAGAATATTGAGCAATATACTTATGCACATGTGATTTTGTTTTTTTCCTTTATTTTTAATAAATTTGCAAGGATTTCAAACAAACTTCTTTCACATTGTCATTATGGGGTATTGTTTGTAGAATTTTGAGGAAAATAATTAATTTAATCCATTTTGGAATAAGGCTGTAACATAACAAAATGTGGAAAACTGAAGCACTGTGAATACTTTCTGGATGCACTGTATATAGATGTTTGTGGTAATGCTGTTTTGTGGAATGTTATATGACACACATTTTAATTTTTAATTTTCGCTAGTACATTTTCAAAAATGACCAATTCTCTAATCTCTCAAAAGATCATCAAATTGAGATTTTAAAGATTTTAAGAGCTTTTAAATTTAGCATTAGGGCTAAAATGGCATTTTTTTTCTAAAACAAAAATCCTACAAACATCTTAAGTTCTTAGGAAGCATTATTTAAAAAAAATTATAAAATCATGACCCCTTTAAAAGTTTTTCTCCCCCAGTGTTTTAACAATGTAAAAAACTAATGTTAACAAAGTCATAAAATCTTCTAAAATATATGTTGTATATGCAACCAGTACTAGCATTTCTTTAGTAAATTTTGAATATGCTTTTAAAAACAGTGATGGACTAAAATGACATTGCATATATCCCACCTTTCAGGAAACGGTTGAGAATCTGCCATTTGAAGCTCGGTTAGTTGAAGCCCTTAAGGTAACCAACAAATGTGCTGCTAAAGAACATCAATATAAGTTCATGTAATTTCTCACAACAGATAGTGGTGAGAGAGAGAGCTCACTTATTATACTGAGTTAATATAGGCTATACATTACATTCTTTATTTAAAGGTTAAAAAACAATATTTGTAAGAATAAAGTAGAACAGAGTTGCACAATATGTATACTTACAATAACTTGTGCTTTTAAATGAGGCTCTTTCTCCAGTCCAACCTGGAAGATTTAGACAACAGAATGTGTATTTATATCCTGAAAACACCTGCCTTCTGAAGATCATGTGGTTTATAAGAAAACATACATTTCATTGTTGATAATTGATTTGGGCTATAGCCCAAAAAATATTTGGCATATATCTTCTCAATTATTTGACAAATACAAATTATTTTTGTCTTTTTTTATAATCAGTGTCTCAAGATGATACAAGCCAAATTGTGTGTGAATCAAATGGTCTCGGCGAGAAACTCAAAACAGCAGATAGACCCAGTAAATACAGAATACAAAATTGAAAAATCCTAGAGTTTTTTTATTATTATTATTTGAATTGGGATTTAAATGTTGAATTATTGTTAATTATTAATCTAATTCCATCTTTTAGATAATTGCTGTAAAAATTTGAACACACCCAGTTTCTTATGATCACGTGATTTACAGGAAGCTCATTTTTTTCAGCAGAACAAAATGAAAAGAAAAAAGAAAACGCTTTGCTGCAAGATAAATGAAGAGGAATAAATATTCCAGGTAGTAATAAATAGATAGCATTTTATTATTTATATTGAGAAAAACTTGAACAACACTCATGTAATTAACAAAAAACAAACTGAATGTTCACAACCTTTTACAGCTGTTCTTTATTTTTTTAATTACTTAATAAACATTTTAACTAAAATACATATGTTATACCCAGGGCTAATTTATTTAAAATGTTACATGACTAATAAAAATCACAAACTAATCATATATAATTTTATTTAAAATAAAAGGAAAATAAAGTGAGCTGAATCCAAACAGCTCTAAAAGATTTTAGAATAGTTCTCCGCATCTTTCTGAAGGCGCTCCGCCTGTGTTTGTGGTGTTGAATGCTTTGACCATTTAAACATAAATGTTTAGTGTACTGTCTCTGAAAAAAAATCAACTGATTGATTAGCCTATATTTATTTATTGTAGACGCTAGCAGCTGAAAACATACATGTTTTTAAAATCTTTTGGAATATCATTGTCATAATAATACTGATTCTCATGTGTTGTTACACAGTTGCTGTAATCAATTGCGTGAAATTATTTACTCATTCCCTTTACAATCAAAGATTAGACTCTAGATGAGAGCAGGCCACCACATGATGTGTGCAGTGATCAAGATCTCCTGATCTTATTCTCTCTGGGCTTTTCATGCAATAACAAACATGTCTTATAAACAGAGTTACAGTTTAAGTGGAGAGCCCAGCTAAAGCAAACAGCAACCACCATCATGGTGACTTCAAACAAAACATTTTTATTCAAATGTCAACGTCTAAACTTTTGTCATTCTTAATAACAACTTTTGTAGACGTCTGACAGAAATAAAGTCAATCTGGTTAGAAATGAGTGAAGCTGTTAATGCTGTTTGTGGAGTTGTTTAATCCTCCTCTGCTGAGATTTAATGTCTTATTTTGTTTAATTGATTTCATTTAAGGCTGTGGCTGGAAGTCAGTTGTAGTTCTTGTGTTCAGAATCTACTTTCTTCAGTGATTCTGCTTCTTAACAGCAGGTGTTCATCACTAATGCTCAATCAGCACTTAAATATGCACTTAATCATCTAATTAACTGCAACATTTTTACTCTTTGTAGTGTGGACACTACAGGATTTGTAGCGGAGTTAGTGTGTGGAGGTCCTGAAGGTTATCAAGCAATTTGAACTAATTAAAGAAAATAAATGTTAACATTTCCATAAAAATTACTTTAGAAAAATATATAAATTGATGTAAACAGAATAATAAAAAAATTATCGTTCATTCGAACATTACAACTTTTCATCTTAATTAGTTTTACATTCATGTTGTGTATTAGCACATATCTTAGCAATAAAAACAAAAATAGGATAAATAGTGATGCATATTTGAGATATTACTATATAATTGAGATATTACTATTTAATGACAAATCCTTTACAATAGTAATTACTGCATACCATGAATGTGTACAAATGATCTTATTTATCTTAAGTCTCACTGTAAAGAATGTCTTAACAGTCATCAGACTATAATTAAGCTCAGAATTCATTAGAACGTATCTACTCACAACGTGATGTTCTGAACAGTCCGTCCGTCTTCAGCTGACTCTGAAAGTCTGCAGACAACCAGATAAGAAAGCCTATTTATACTCAAGGCAACACCCTGTTTCTGAAAGTCATGTGATTTCTCGGAATGCGTTATTTCTATATTAATTAATTTAATATTTTATTTATTTATTTATTTATTACAAAATAGGTCCAAGTAGACTTACAAACAAAACTCAGCATCTCTAAAGAGGTTGTTTAATGATATTTGTCACTCTTACATTGCACAAACAAAGTGAACAGCTAAAGTGAAATGTTCCCTCAGGGTGCAAATCATAACAGCTTTCAAGCGGGCAGATTTGCTGATGAACCTAAAATCATTCACAATATAAATTATTTGAATTCATGCAGACATGTGCTTTAATTAATATGTCTAATAATCATCAAATTAAATCTTGCTTGTTTGTCATAAAAATCATGTGCAAATTTATCATAACGAGTCGTGCAAAATGGTTTCACATTTTATATACTATTTTTTTTTGAGCAGGCCTACTGTTTGTAACAATGAACATGAAGACAGTTGTATTATCTCAGTTTTAGATAAATGTTTTAGGTAGTAATTGAATATAATTCGACATTATACAAGCTGTAGGTGCTGCAGGTCTAGGTTAGATGAAGCGGCTGTCCGGAAAGCCTCAACCAGGTTTCCAGGTTTCCGTGAAGCAAAGCGCAGCAGAGTTGAAAAAGTCCTTGTTTGTGCGGGTGAGGAGTAGTAGTTTGTCTGATTTATTTGCTAGGGAGCAGAGATTCACCAAATGAATGCTCGACAGTGGAGTCCTAAAACCGCGCTGTCTGAATTTCTCGAGAGCACCAGCGCGCTTCTCTCGTTTGCGTCGCTTGGATCGCAACTCCTCCGACTAGAATGCCCAGTAAAATGTCTGAATGCTAAAAAAGTAAAAAGTAATTTAGTGTGCTACTTCTGATGTCTAGGAGTTAATTTGAACAAAGTTACTTAAGACAGGACAAACAAACAAAAATAGTACAAGTACCAAGGAGCTACAAACAGAGGCAGCCGTCCGCGGCGCCATCTTGATCTTAATCAAGTGTATCGACTATACACTATATCGAACTGTGTGAGTTGTTTACTTTTTAAATTAGCCTTCCCATTAACTTCCCATTTGCTGTTCAGTGCTGGGGTGTAATTCCAGAAAGCATGGTTAACTTACCATCACTTACTGTATACCCTGAACTCTCGGTTGATTAACCCAAACCTTGCTTTCTTGATGTATGTTGGTTCCAAAAACACGTCTGGGAGTAAGTTCAGTCAACTCAGAGTATGTTCTTGGTTAACACACAATAAATACTCAACAGAGCGACGAATCGACGAGTCACCATGGAAACGGACACTAAAGCTGTGTCTGAAATCGTTCACTCATTCACTAATCCCTATATAGTGTATACAGTATGGCAGTTGAGTGAACGAAATGAAGTGAGCGAATTCTGAGCTGGAGAGCTGGAGCCATCGCAGCAACATCTTCGTCACATATGTACATTTATATTACATGTACCTTATTTTATAAAATAATATTAATAACAATAACACTTACAATGACTTTATATTGTAATTATACATACCTCCGCGCCAGCTTTGTGGTTTCATCGATGGTATTAGGCCTAACTTGTTTTGTAAAGCTTAATATGTTCATAATAATTAAATACTATTAAAATACTGGCAACAAAAATAAACAACACAAAATACAACACATACATTTTATGTATTGCAACTATTGAAACTCTCCCGAGCAGTGTTTTGCGCTCAGATAAGATGATGGTGGTCGTAGAACGCCTTCAGGCGACCGTTAGTTTTACATTAGAATACGCCACATACAGGTGATTAACAAATATTTTTTTTAAATCTTCCACCAAATTATCATCACATCTCTCATCTCTTATAAGTTAACAATGCCACCTCAATAAATTAGTAAAACATTAATCTAAGTTAATGCCTAAATGATATATTTTAAAATTAATAATGCATGAAATATCCGTTAAAGCAGAAATAAGAAAGATGTAAACTGCATCTCTCATTCAAACTCGCTCGCTCCATCTCTCTCTTCCAGCTCGTCTTACATATTCACCCAAACGCTACCGTTTGCTCTGAAGCGCTGTCTTGTTCTCTTGAATGGCATCAGGAGAGCTGAATTACAGTCTTG